GGACCACGTCCATGGTCGAGGCGTCCCTCGCAGGTCGCGGCTCGCGCGGCGCGTCGCGTCCTTCCACTGGGGCAACCTGCTCGTCGCGCGGCGTCCGCGAACGCTTCCCCGGAACCGTCGACGCGCGCGCGCGCCCGACGCGTCGCGTCGCCGCCCTCGAGCCCCCGCTCGCGCAGGACGTCGCAGATCGCCGACGAGGGCGGCCCCGCGACGCACCAGCTCGTCGCGGCGACGGTCATCCCGGACCGGTCCGCGGCGCGCCGCGGCGCGCGCGCGATCGCCACGGAACCGCCGCGCGCCGACGGCCGCGGCTTCGCCCCGCGCAGTTGCTGATCCAGTTCGTCGTGCTCCCGCGCAAGATGGGCACGGGCCGCGACTCGCTCGAGGTGCGCGACCCGCGCCCCGGGCCCCCCGCCGCGCGCCGCGCGCCGCGGAAGCGGCGGAAGCGGCGGAAGCGACGAGCGCGCGCGCGTCCCCGCGCAGACGGACGAGAACGTCGTCACGTGCTTCATCGACGGCGCGGCGACGCTCAAGCGCGCGCGCAAGCAGGGCCTGCTCCGGCCCGTCGCCCCGCGTCCTTTGAACGCGCGCGTCGCGCGTCGACGTCGTCGCTTCCGAACGACTTCGATCGCCGTCGCGCGCGCGGGGCCCCCCGTCACGGGCCGCTCGAGCCTTCCGCGACCCGTCCGAGTCCATCCCCGATGACCTTGCCCCCGTCACGCGCAGGCTCCAGTTCGACTTCGTCCTCATGCTCTGCCGCCGCCTCGGCGTGAAGGACGTCTTCCTCTTCGCGACGGAGGCCGGCGCCCCGGCCTGGCTCACCCTCGGCTTCGAGCACGTCGGCAGCTCGGCATCGCTGATCCACCTGCGCTTCGACCTGCTCTTCAAGCGCGACCGCGGCGTCCTCGCGCGCTCCGCCCGCGGTCCCGAGACGTCGCGCCTCGCAGCTGCTCGATGGACCGCGCGCTCAAGATCTTCAGCGACTCCGCGGGCCTCTACCCCATGGTGCGTCTCCTCGCGCGCGCCTCGCGCTCGCGGGCCTCGACGCGCTTCTTCTAGGCGTTGAATATCGAGGGCGAGGCCTTCGACGACGACGAGTCGTTCACGCGCGCGCTCCGCGTCCTGGAAACGCCCCTCACGATGCCTCACCCGCGCCGTTCATAGGTCCGCCGTCCAGGAGCGCGTCGCGGAGTACGGCGAGAAGCAGGTCGTGCGCCTCGCCAAGGAGGCCGCGAACGCCGCGGTCGAGGCCGAGGCCGAGAACGACGACGAGGTCCCGGCCGCGGCCTCGA